TGTTGTCGGATTGAAGCATTTGTACCCCTTTTTATTCGGGGCATACCCAACAAATACACATTTTTCAGCCCGAGGATCCAATTTAGATCGAAGTCTACTAGGTAAATGGACAAAGACAGTGCACCCAAATACTTTCAAAGGCAAGTTTGAATAAATCCGAGTTTCAGGAAAAGATTTTTTAAGGCTTTCAAGGGGTGTAAAATAGTTAAGAACACGAGTAGGCATCCTGTTAATCAAATATGTTGCTGTTAAAACAGCTTCACCCCACAAATACTTAGGAACATTCATTGAAAACATGATGGCACGAGAAACTTCAAGTAAATGTTTATTCTTTCTTTCAGCAATTCCGTTTTGTTGGGGTGTGTCAACACAAGTGGATTGGTGAAAAATTCCTTTTTCTGTTAAAAAACTTCCTAAAACTTCATTAAAGTATTCGGTGCCGTTATCAGTATGAAGAATGCCAATTTTTGTTTGAAATTGATTTTCAATCATCATATAAAAATCCTTGAATAATTTTTCAATTTCAGATTTTTCATTCATTAAATACACCCAACACAAACGTGTATGATCATCAATAAAAGTCACAAACCATTTTTTTCCAGAAAGAGTTGTGATCCTAGAAGGGCCCCAAACATCGCTATGGATTAAATAAAATGGTTTTGATGTTTGGTGAGGTTTAGGAGAATATGTAGTACGATGACTCTTTGATAAAAAACAATTCTCACAATAAAAAGATGAACAATCCAATCCTTTAAATAAAGAAGGAAATAATTTTTTAAGATAAGGGAAACTAGGATGCCCTAGTCTAAAATGCCATAGCATTATTTGTTCTCTAACAGGGATAGAACGAAAACTACTCAAACCTTGAGCCTTTTTATTACTTGAAATATCATCTTCAAAATACTAGAGACCATCTATCATCTTAGCACTGCCAATCGTCTTCCCCAAGCTCTGGTCCTGAAATTCACAATAGGATTCAAAAAAGATAACACGACAATTAGAGTCTTTGGACAATCTACTAACTGATAAAAGGTTACAAGCAAGCTTAGGGACATGAAGGACAGACTTAAGATCAATAATTTTTGAAAGTTTCACTAAACCTTTGCCTGCAATAGGAGAATAAGAACCATCAGCTATTCTGATTTTTTTTTCAGAGCCAGAACAGGGTGAATAAGTTTGAAATATATGAGAACAACTTGTCATATGGTCAGAAGCCCCTAAATCAATGATCCATGGGGTAACACTGGAATTTGAACGACAAGATAAGGCCTTCGGGTTGTTACCTATTTGAGCAAGAGAAACATTAGGAGTACCAGATGAGGAATTGAATTTCAGCAATTTTAGAAGATGATCCATCTGTTCTTTGCTGAAGGGAAGTGCCTCGGCTTCATGAGCTGATGGGACTCGGTTGAATCTGCCTTCCTGGTTGAATCTGCCTTCCTGCTTACTCTTCCAATTCGCTGGTTTACCATGAATTTTCCAGCAGGTTTCACGGGTATGGTGAGGCTTGTTGCAGTAGTCACACCAAAGACGGGGCTTTTCATTATGTTTCCTGCCAATATTCGCTTCAGATGCGACCAAGGCAGAGGTCTCAACAGCACCATTTGATAACTTTTTTCCAAGCATGACCAGCCTGCGACTTTCCTCTCTTCGAACCTCGGAGAAGACTTCACCGATTAAAGGCAAGGGTTGTCGTCCAATTATTCTGCTTCTCACTTCATCAAACTTGACATTGAGTCCAATGAGAAACTTGAAGATGCGGTTGTCTTCCACCTTCTTTTTGTAATGGTTGCAATCTTCAGGCGATTTCCACTCATAATCGCTGAACAAATCAAGGTCCTGCCACAAACGTTTCAGAGAGTTGAAATATTTTGTAACACTGTTATCTCCTTGACGGATCTCTCCGAGTTTCAGCGTTAGTTCATAGACTTGAGACTGATTTCCTAGGTCTGAATACATTTGGTTGACATTGTCCCAAAGTTCTTTTGCTGTGTGGTGACACATATAATTAGAACTGATGTCCTCCTCCATAGAATTCACCAACCAGGTCATCACCATCGAATTCTCTGCATCCCAGGTCGAGTAGGATGGATCTTTAGGTTTTGGTTCCTTCTTTTCTCCTGTTAGGTAGCTGATTTTGCCTCTGCCTCGGATATACATCCGCACGGACTGGGACCAGCGAAGGAAGTTTTCACCATTTAGCCGAATTGTGGTAATCTGGACCGAGTGTGTCTGAGAGTTTTGGACTTGGGACTCAAAGGTCTTGGTCTTGGACTCAGGTATGTCATCAGACATGGTGATTAGAGTTGTTTGGAAGAGAAAAAAAAAGGAACAGCTAGGGGGTTTTTTTTCAGAAGAATCGGTAAGATGCTCTGATACCAAATAGGCGATTTCAAGATTGAAAGAAAATCTGTATATTGCCTTCCTTTGAATGGTTTACAATGCTTTAGTTAAATAGGACATACAAGGGGCTAAAAAAAGGAAACTACAAGCTGACTACAAGCTGTGACAGCAAACTACAGGCTGTAATTACAGGCTGTATACTAACAGAAGCTACAGGCTGTGCACTAATAGAAGCTATAGGTTATACACTAAAATATCCCCTAAAATCTGGTCATTGACTATCTATATTTACACGCCTATCATATCCCCTAAAATATGGTCTTATTAAAACCAAATATCTCTTTTTCAACAGTTTTTGATATGAAGAACTGAAAATAGTTTAAGTTCCCACTACAACGACAAGTTTCATTCACTAATTTTTATTTGATGCAAAAAATACTTTCTAAGTTTCTAAAGTCATAACTCCTTTGACTTTTGGAAACTTCTTAATAATATTTATTGTACGAGGGAATAGAGATACACTAGAATACACAAAACAAATTTGAATTTGTTTTGTTTTGTATGAGTGTGAGCATATCTAAGCCTTTTGGTTTATTCTGCAATGAGTTGTAACATCTTATACCTTTCCATTACCAAGAAATTTTTATGCTTCCTGCCACCATGTCCAATATAACCGTATTATGCGATCTGCGTTTTATCTCACCATAGTTCTTTTTTATCTCGAGGTTTTGTTTAAGTTCTCATTTGTATTTGCCTTAACAGGCAAACGAGCATACAACATTCTGAGAAAAAAATGTGCTGAGAAAAGCATTGCTTGCACCACAAGCCTATAGCACAAATGGTGCCTCCTCCCCCTTTCAAATAGAAGGTCGAGGGTCCAAGTCCCCTTAGGGATGTGTGAGTTGGATGCGTGGATAACTTGCAGGAAAAAAGGAAAAAAAACAATTTGCTTCATTGGCTGCATTCTGCACTCGAGGTTATTGAATTGAAAGATGATTGCAAACTTCCAACTAAGTAATAGGGAGCTTGAAAAAGAATACTATTGGGCAAAGACATCATCCCATGGTATGTAGGTACCAAACTGGTTGCTGCTGTGAAAGGAGTTTGGAAGTGCTGTTAGAAAATCAATAATTAGAGGTTTATCATTTCAGAGTGTAACCATTTGTAGGATTTTTCCTGTGGCTTTTGTCCATGCTATCATCACCAAGTTAGATACTATGCGGATAGGTCAACTTCTATGTATTTCTTTGGTTGATTTGGTTAGTAGACAGAAATGACAAATGGTCTGAGATTATGTGATTAAGAAAAGAGGATCCAAATTTCTCTTGGGGTCAGAATAAACTAATGGTGAGAGTGTGGGAAGTACAAATCCAGGACAAGGATTATGCCCAGGTCTGTTAAGGGATTTACGGAGATGCAAATGAGAGGGAAAAAAAGATTAGTATGATGGAATGATTGTGAAAGAAAGACTTAACAGCAGGAAAATAAATTTAAAGATGGATTATGAAAGATAAATCAATGTATGAGAATGATTACTGGACAGTCTAACCCTCAAGGCAGTTGTAAAAGGAAAAAAATGAAAAAGATATTTGTGGGTATCGATAAAAGCAATGGTCTTACCAGTTACGGTAGAGGGCTGAGTGAAAGTTTTCCTTGAAACTTCTGCAGAAACCACCATGAAGACTATTAGAGCATAATGGAGTTTTACATTCTGAACATAATGGAAAATACTGTACATTCCATACTTAGGGAAAGAACAAGAGTTAGTCTTAGAGCCTCAACTAAATTTGCGAAAAATGAAATTTCATCATGTTTTTGAGCTCTTAGGTTAACAAAGTTGTACTGTATGAAGGGTTCTGAGTAAAATTTGCCTTGCATCAGTATTATAAGTTAATTTACCTTTTCATGTTATGTCTTACCTAGTGCATGCAAAAATGGTTGTTCTGGGACCTATATTCTTGTGGTTGTTTTGTAGCAGCATTAATTCGTCTTATCCATGAAGGTTCTTGCCTGTCTGTTTCCAATTTGGTACGTTAATATATGTACTTGGTGGTTCATTGTGCGTCAAAGTAGAAATAATATGTAGTTCTCCCTCAACCAAAGTTTTTGCATATTAAATGATAATTTGTCAACAACAGATGCCAGATTTTTTTTTTCCTTCTACCTACATTGCCATCATGTGAATATTAAATGGTAATTTGTCAGACAAAATGATGTTTCAGAAACTGATTATTTTCTCTGTTCATATTCGTATTGGTCATGATAAAGTTTTACGCCGGCTGTCAAGCTACATGATGCAACCCTACTCCTTTATCTTGGCTTGGGACCTGATAAATATTGATTGTTTTCTCTGTAATGATATACATTTGGATTATGATAATGATATATTTAGAAAACGTACCACTCATCCTCATTCTGGCATCATATTTTCTTAAAAACTGGATCTTATATTTTAAGAGTTTGAGATTTTATGAGGATACACATTTGATAAACTAGCATAAGTATTTTTCATTAGCCCTTTTGTTTTAAGTTACACTGGTTTTCCTTCCATTAAAGATTCTGTCAGCATTATCCAAGTTTAATTTTGCTCATTTCTACTGGAAGTTTAACCGTGTATTATGGTACATAAAGTAATGAAATTATGTTTCTTAATGCAGACTAAGAAAGCAAAACGCAGACTTAGAAGACCTGGTACTGTACCGTTGGCTTATGCAAAAGTGATGAAGAAACTCAATTTCTGCGGTTAAAACATTGGGAGATGATGCCATATCTGGTATAAAAGAACTCTCCATGAGGCGGCCTTTGTTTTGTTCTCTCTAGCTTTTACATTGCAGAATTCCTTAGACCCTTGTGTAGAACATGTTTTGTAGCAGGATGATTGTGGTCATCAATCATTCATTTGAAGCTATGGCTGATCGAAACTTTTCATGCTTTTTAGTGTTTTGAAGTTGACCAGTTGTAATGGATCAACAATAACTGACATTGCCTTTTAACATCTTTATAGTGTTTTCTTTCGCCGGTGGCACCATCATAGTTTTTTGATTACTTGAACATGGAAACAGACGACGGTGATAATATGTGTGTTGTGAATACGTTGTTTTATTTAGTTTTCAGTTATATGAATAGGGCTGTTTTGCAAATTTGTTTGGTTGAGTTGAAAATGAATCTGTAATTTGATATACAATAATCACAGGGATCACAGAATTACAGGTATAACTTCCATACTTGAAAGTTTAAAAAGCATGCAAATTTTAAACAGTTATATGATATGTTGGTGCTTGTTATTGCTGTTTATTAGAAAAAGAATAACAGATCACAGAAAGCCCAAAACTCTTGCTTACATTTGAAGAAATCAATCATTTTAAGGTGTCTCCGCATTCCCAGCTCCCTTAACTTCAACTGCAACATCCAACCCATTCACAGGTGAACCCTTTTCGCTGTCGTCTCTCACGTGTCCGGCAGCTTTAGCCCCTCCAAAACTGCTAATGTTCCCAAAAATCAGAATCACCACCCCAACAGCAGCACTACAAAATGCAATCCCAAATGACCTCCCTGTGGTTCCTGCAGGGTGTGTGGATGCCAGTGCAAAGCCGGTGCACGTGCCCAGAGCCCTCACCCACGAAAACCACACTGAGAACGCGCCTTCTTTCCCTGCCGGTGAACAATCCATCAACAGGACCCTCCCAAAAGCATGCAAGAGACCTGTTGCGACGCTTTGGATTGCAGTCAAGAAGAACACATGGTGCTCGCTCCAGTCTTTGTCGCGGAAGTAGAATCCAACCCCGGTTACAAGCATCGACAGTATGAATCCGAGGACTTGCATTTTCACTGCATCTGCTCTAATGAGTTGTTGTAATGGTTGTAATAGTGGGAGAGAGATTATAGGGAACAAAAAGTATGTTAACAACAGATATAGCAAGTTCACTGGTTTAATGCAGAGTTGGCCTACTAAGTAGAGCAACCCTCCTGCGAATATGCACATTGTTGCCATTGAAGACAGGAAGACTCCTGCCAGGCTTCCCGCGGCGTGGGGATAGCTGAAAATGGAGATCACATGGGGTTTTGAGGATGAATCAGGCAAGGAATTTGAGCTTTGACCAGGTCTGCTACTAGCAAAGACATGGACTATACCTGCAGCCCATTTAAGGCCACTAAAGATGGAGACTACCCACAAGCTAGTGAACTTCTCCTTGCTTCCGAGCATGTGGTGGGTGAAGGCAGCGATGATGGCGGAGCCCAAGCAGCCAGCAGCGGTGGAGTAGAGAGAGAGCCACCCTGCCACGGCTCGTCTGTCAGGGAATTGGCTCTTTCGGATGGTGGAGCCAATGAATCCGCGGACCATGAGACCGAGGTGGCGCGTGTGGGAGGCAGTGCCGATGGTGTTGGCTGCCACGATGGCGGCAATGTATGGTGGGAAGATCCTTGTTGTCTTGAAGAATCCTGCGGGGAGGCAGAAGAGAGCTCCGATGACCGTGGCGGCTGCGCTGATGAGTTGTTGTTTGTGGCCCCGGTCAAGGTGGGTTGCAATGGTGCCTAGTATGGGTGCTGCAATAACTAGACCTGTGACCCAAGAAATTGAAGTCCACTCTAATGGAGAGAACTTAAAATAGTTGACCTTTATGGACCTGTATGTTAGGCTTTCATACCTGGAATTATAGATATAAGTTAGGTTCATTTGAGTTCTCACTCTTAAATATTTTCTGTTGCCAAATAAAAAGAGAGGAAGAAGCAAATATATATATATATATTTTTTCAAAATTTGAGGAAACAATCTCCTAAATTGAAAAGCACAAAAGGACTGCTCCTGGTGATTTGTTGCTTGAGTACTCAATTCATTAAAGACTATGTTTTGAGAATTATGCTTGCTACGTTCAAAAACGAAGAAGAATAAAACATCCCCAATTTGAAGGAACAGATACCACTAAATTACAAATCATAATAGTGATCACGTCATTAACAAAGTGTCACTTTTAATATGATAGAAAACAATATTAAAAATTGTGACGTTACATACCGTTCGGGAGGTTTGATGTCTACGTGTAGACATTCCCACGTGTTTTGAGAACAATTGTGAGCGCCGAGAAAAGAACGTGCAAAGAGGACAATATCTACGCGTGTAGATGGGGTCATGAGAAAAATAGAGGTTATTGTATGATATAACAGTATCAAATTACGTCATCTCATGTGGCATGTTGAAAAGTCAAATAAGTTTGGAAGGTTGTGCCCACGTGACACGTTGAAAAGTCAAACGAACTGGGATTGTTATATTTAACTTAGTACGAACAAATCCTAGCATCTCACCAGGTCATCAAACCTTGATAAGGCGAACATCGAAATTATATCTAATCTTCATTTTTTAGTATTACCCAAAAGCATAAGATTAAGCTTCCCAATAAATGAGATTAAAAAACTTACAGTTCCATGACCTTTGGCCTACAAACCAAGCCATTGGAGCTGTTCCCCCACCCATGCTTTGGTTCCGGTGGCGGCGAATTGATTTGGCTGATGATGAGGGGGAACACAATAGGAATAAGAACCGTGTGAATGAAGTATGAGCATAGCCCATAAAAGCACCAACACACAACTTCCATTCTAGTAGGCATCTCTTCAAGTCCTGCATATGCCTTGTAAGCATCCTTAGCCCTCTCCATTTGGATTGCTGCACCGTGCACGTCAGCTGTTGCCACAACTTCCTCGTCTTCCACAGCTCTCGACCTCCTCCCCGGAGTCTGTTGGACATCAGGACTGGTAACCGCCATTCGCGCACTTCTGAACTGTCTCGAAATACAAAAATGTTTCAGGTTGGGATCACAAAACAAGGGTGAGTTGCAGATAAAGAAATGAATGCAGATAGGGGGTATAAAAATGGTAATGGTTTGAGGTTAGAAATGCATAGTTTGGTGTGACATTCTCGAGAGAGATTGATCAGCCTCGAATTGTACACTCTAGTAATAAAAATAGATGGTACATTGGCATCATTCTCTTTATATTAGGTCTTGAAATAAACAAGGACATGAGGTTTGGCATATAGTCTTGTGTGTCACTAGTGTAAAGAGTTGTGAAAACTGAATAGCATTGTCAATCCACAATGAGGCCAAAAAAAAATGCTTTATAAAAATGCTTCCATAGGACACTGGGAGCATTTTATGATTGCGAACTTTAGCTTATTCTCACTAATTACAATGTGACATTTGTATGATGGGCCATCAGTAAGTGCATGTCATTTAGTTAAAGATGGAATGACAAATCAGGAATGATTTGGGTAGGATAAGAAAAATTATGTTTAATAATAATTTTTTTTTTTTTTTAATATATATATATTTTTAAGAAAGTACTTGATATTTTAGGGTACTGAGAATGTATTATTCTAGACCAACATATAATTGGTGTTCCCTATTATTAAGAATAAATTAATTATTCATTAATCGAGTACTCCATAATAAATTTATCTCCGACATGGAATATTTACCAATTCCATTCAAAAGATGGATTTGGTTAGAGGAATGCCATTTAGACCTATTACTTTTAATTTATTTGGCCAATTAAAGAGTTTTTTTTTTCAATTTGATATAATGGACCGTTACAAGGGAAATCTTGTCTCACCTCGAATCTGGATGAGAAGTGAATTCAATATAAATAAATTATGTGTTAGCTTCATCTAATAGCTTAAGTTTTTTAATCCAGTCACAGAGCACCAAACTTGGAGACTATATATATATATATATATATATATATATATATTTATATTTTGGATGACTTATTACGGTCTAAGGAAATCATAACTGTTTAGTTCAGATTTGAATAGTTCAGAGAGTTAAATTATTGGCTTCCTGGCATACTGCTGGTTCAAAAGAATTATTTGGGTGCCTTCCATTTCATTGGCCTAATTTTGATATTATTTACATTTTTTGGTATGATGTTATGGGAAAAAAAATTATAAAAATAATTTCTCTATAAATAACGTAAAAATTCTCAATTCACACATCTTGAATGTCGGGAGTTCGAATTTCGTCGTGGTCAATCTCAAAAATTTGGACTTCGAATCTCCTTGAGGCTCACTATCAGAAATTTTTTTCGATAAATGTCTTATACATGTGGAGCAACAAACAATATGTATTTGATGGTAAATTATGAGGTACTCCTAGGGATACCACCATTCTGGACCACCGATTGGTAATGTCCAGTTCTTGTATATAAGGATGCATGCATTCAATGCAAGAGCACTTGTCAAGAAGAAATTGTAAGTTTAGCCATTGGAAAATGACACGTTTCTAACAAGTCTAAAACCAATGTGAGCATATATATATATATATATATATATATATATTTTATGTATTTATTTATTTTTTAACAAAATCACATGGCTAAAATTATTCAACCACGCTAATCTTTCGTGCATTACTTCTCCACGCAATTATTAGCTCCAATAGCAGCAAAGCTTTTGACTTGTCCCAATATAGATGTAGACTTCAATGAATAATATAGCTCGACGCGTTGGTTAATAAATCTTAAAAAAATAAAAATAAAAAATGTGGGTAATACCATCAATGCAAGTGCTTTTCACTAGCGACTTCTTTAAATTCCTTAACAGATCAGGACACTATTAAATTCAACACAATGCCGACTTCTCTAAATTTCTTACTAGATAAGGGCACTGCTAAATCAACCGTAAAACATTGTGTCACAAATAATTTGACTCACAACGTAACATTACACACGGATGCATATATAACACTCTACATCATGTTATAACATTGAAACACTATTAAATTAAAATTTTCATATTTTTTAGGTAATTGTCAATTTAAAATGATTGTGTTGCGAATTTAAAAGCGTCAGACAACACCGGACGTAAAATTACACTGGAAAAGAAGTTCAAATCTTTTCAAGAAAAGTCATTTGTGTTATTTTAAGGATCATTATTAAGATTGACTGTTCTTCTTAATTCAAGCGTGCTTGACAGAATTTGGATTTAGAAATTATAATCCACTTTTTAAGGTTTGAACATAATTAAAAAATGTCAAAAAGGTCAAAATCCAACTCATCTGGTGCAAGATTTGTAGCCAACCCACCCACCATGGTTAAAAAAAACCAGCTAAATACAAATCTTCTGAACCTTCATTTAATTGCTTAGTCAATGACACGGCTTGATTGGTCTATTATATATAAAACACTTTCAAATAATAAAAATTGTTCCTCCTCATAACATTATCAGACAATACAGCTTTCTATACACAAACACAGCTTCTGGTTATGGCTACCAACAAGACATGCTCTATGAATCATTTGTTGCTGCTAATTTTCGCATTCTTATCCTGTCTGGGATTCGATTCTTCCCTCGTAGCAGGAGCAAGCACAATCCAACGCGGCGATGAACTCAACTCCTCTGCTAGTCTTCTTGTTTCTGAAGGTGGGAACTTCACCTTAGGATTCTTCAATATCACCGCGACGGTTACCAGTTATTTAGGAATATGGTACACCAATGATGACCAACAAAGGAGGGTATGGATTGCCAATCCTAACACACCTTTGAACAGTTCTGGAGTTCTGACCATTGACACCACAGGGAGGTTGAAGATCATGAGCGGAGGGAGTACTCTTGTGAATATCTCTGATCGAGTTGGGACCGGAAATGTTAGAGCCACACTCGAGGATTCAGGTAACTTTGTGGTGAAGGATGAAACTGATAACAGCACTTTGTGGCAGAGCTTTGATCATCCTAGTAGCGTGCTATTACCCGGTATGAAACTCGGTTCTAACCTCACAACCAGGGAGAATTGGACTGTGACATCTTGGCTGAGTGAACATATCCCGGCTACCGGGGCTTTCACCTTGAGCTGGGAACCTACACAACAGTCCGGGCAGTTAGTCATTCAGCGTCGAGGAGAGCGTTATTGGACTAGTGGGGAACTGAAAGATCAGAATTTTGAACACATGCCGCTGTTGAACTTGAATCAAAATTATTCTGTTGACCTTCGCAACCTTAGTTATGTTTCATCTAGTGATGGGAGCTACTTCACTTATTCTGTTGTTGATGAAAGGATGTTGTTGTGGGACCTATATCCAAATGGGCATATTGTTGACAGTGGTAGTGGTGCTGTCCTTACCCCATATGAGTTTTGTTACGGTTATCAATCAGACGATGGTTGTGTGAACTCTACGGTGCCTGAGTGCAGGAGCCGTGGTGATACGTTTCAGCAAAAGCGAGCAAACTTCATAGGAAACCCTTCAACTTATGATCACAATTCAAGTCTAAGTATCAGTGATTGTATGGAAAAGTGCTGGAACGATTGCAATTGTGTTGCCTTCACCACCTCTAGCACTGGAGTAGGGTGTGTGTTTTGGGGTGGGAATTTAAAATATACACTAGATGAACCTAATACTGCGATAAAGTATGTGCTAGTTCCAGCAAATTCATCCAATGGTATGTCTACTTTTATCTCCATTAATTTCTGGATCTGATCTGATTTTATTTCCAACTCATTGTCTATTTACCAAAAAAAACTGGTAAACATTACACGAGGCACATCGGGTTTATAGGTTCAGTATTTCCATGTCCTGGTGTATCATGTCAAACCTAAAAGATTGATCACACTACTTATACTGACCTGGCCATAATCCTTTCACAGATATTAGTAGCTTAGTTGATTTTTATTTTTTCATCGTAAACATTTCATTCGTATAGATCGAATAAGATTGCTTAAACTTACCAGGCTTACACAATCTGCAAAGTGCATATATAATGACCACTTGTCCACAAGAAATTGAAGGGCTTTAGGATCCATGCTTCAGGTTTGAATTTTAGAAGGAAAACATCTCTGGTAATATAGTGCACCCTTGTTACATATTGTTGATTGGATTTAATACAAAGCTTAAGCACCATATTGTATTTCCTAATGGTGCTCGCATATCTAACTCAAGCTGGGCTTGGGGATAATGGAGGTCTAGGGTGACCAACCTATTCTATATCCAAATTGCAATCCATTCAAAATTGTTATTGGACTGGAAAGTTCAGAAAAGGAAGGAAAAACACCAAGGATTTAACTAGAAAAGGTGTAAATCATGTTGCATAGTGGTGATGATAAAGCATTGGATCCTAGAAGTATGTGGATATAAATATGATACATGAAAATCTTTACCAATTGGTAATTGATTAATTTAACAATTTTTTTTTTTTTTTTTTTTTCATAATTTAATTAAATTTTAATAATTGATTTTTATGCAGGAAGCAAGTGGTGGATATGGTTAATTGTTGCTGTAGCAATTTCTCTACTTATACTTAGCTTGGGCCTGTTCTACTATTTCAGAAGGAGAAAGCTTAGAAATGAAGGTATATGTCTTACAAATAATAATTTTACTTATATATGTAAAGATGTAGATACTGAATATGCTTGTGAGTGGTGAGTTGGATTAATACTGTTTTTGCTGGCAGGGGAGGAGAAAAAAATGCAAGAACAATACTTATTTGAGTTGACAGCTTCAGACAACTTTGACAATGGAAATGATGCCGAAAACGATGTGAGGGAAGGTCATGATTTGAAGATATTTAGCTTCGACTCTGTTGTGGATGCCACAGATGGTTTCTCAAAGGAAAATAAGCTTGGAGAGGGTGGTTTTGGACCTGTTTACAAGGTAATTTGCATTTTTTACTGGATAAAGTTGATTGCTACTTATTCATCAACAACAACAACCAAAAATTAAAAAATAAATATTGATCAGTACTTGTCCAACATAGTTCAATGACCCGTGAATCATTATATAACAGGGAAGATTGCCCAAGGGCCGAGAAATAGCAATTAAGAGACTTTCAAGAACATCTGGGCAAGGACTTGTGGAGTTCAAAAATGAACTTATACTCATTGCCAAACTCCAGCATACAAATCTTGTTCGACTACTGGGGTGTTGCATTCATGGAGAAGAGAAGATGTTAATTTATGAGTACATGCCCAACAAGAGCTTGGATTTCTTCCTATTTGGTTCGCAATATCTCTAACCTTACCTAGTTTCAATTTTTTCAGTATATCATTTCAAATTCATCTACATGATTACATAATTGAGCTCTATGTGGGTCACTAATTCTGTCTAAAAAAATTTCGTTGATACAGACCAAGCTAAAAAGGAGCTATTAAACTGGGAAAAACGTTTGAACATCATTGAAGGTGTCGCTCAAGGATTGCTTTACCTTCATAAATTCTCAAGAATGAGAGTGATACATAGAGATTTAAAAGCTAGTAATGTACTGCTAGATGAAAACATGAACCCTAAGATATCTGATTTTGGGATGGCAAGAATTTTCAAGCCAAACGAAACGGAGGCAACCACTAACAGGGTTGTTGGAACGTAGTAAGTGAAAAGTCGCTCTCTACGGGTTGACACGTTGAAGCTTTTAAATATTTACAATTTTTTTTGCTTCCACTCCTAACTAATTTTTTTTTTCAACGACTGGATTTAGTGGTTACATGTCTCCTGAGTATGCCATGGAAGGAAATTTCTCAGTGAAATCTGATGTCTTCAGTTTTGGAGTGTTGGTCCTTGAAATCGTGAGTGGTAGGAAAAATACTAGCTTCTATCATCTTGATCATCCACTAAACCTAATAGGATATGTAAGTATCTCCAAGTATATTTCTTTTATTTTCATTTTCTGAACTATAACAAATCAATATAATTTTAATATGGAAATGAAAACAATATTGCCTCAGGCATGGGAGCTGTGGAAAGAAGGGACTGCATTGGAATTAAATGATCCAACACTAGGCAATTCGTGCTCCGAACACCATTTATTGAGAATCATTCATGTGGGACTTTTATGCGTGCAAGAAAGTGCAGAGGATAGGCCAACAATGTCAGAAGTAATTTCTATGCTTAGCAATGAAACTGTGCCTTTACCAGCTCCAAAGCAACCAGCATTTTTCACAGGAAGAAGTGTGCCTCAGCCAATTTCATCAGAAACTAATGATAGTAGCTCAAAAGATCATTCAATAAATGGTTTGACCATTTCTGAAATGGAGGTGCGATGAGTGGTAGAAACTTGTCCTTTTGATTCTTCAAGTATTTCGCAATTGCTTTCAATATTGTAACTGCTTTTGTGCAGAGTTGAAGTATATGTCACGATAACTTTTTCATTGGACAATAAGTTTGAGGTTTGTTTATTATCAAAATGATATTAGTTTTTTTTTACTACAGCTACATACATGATCATTATGAAAATCATGCACTTCTTTTTATCATAGTTCAATTGGAGTGCTATAAAATGAAGAAATGATTGATTTAATTGCAGCAAGGGTGATGGCATGTGTTTGTTTCTTTACAATAAATTTGGCAGAGAGAGACATCTTCAATTCTTGTATGTTGTTAATAGGATTAACTTATCATGCAGAAAGCGGAGTCCTTGAATAAAAAATAACATGAAAACAATGTGTAAATTTCAAGCTGATGCTAAATTACGACAACATGAAGAAAAAAAAATGTGTAAATTTCATAATAGAAGTGAAATTGATGCCCATGAATCAGAAAGAAATTAAAATTTGAAATTATCTCAGAAATATCTTACCTTGCATTGCACCATTAGCCAAGTGAAGAACGCCCACCACTTGGATTTTAGAAACCAGCTTTAGATGAGCTCCCTATTCAAAGCTCGATCTGAACATCACTTTGAACAATACTCAATATGACAGTCCCATTCCTCTGCAGATCACTGCTTCTACAATTCATATACCCTATGCCACTTCCCACCCCATTGGACCCAACCCCATTTTTTTTTCAATTAAGCCACCATACTAGTCCAATCTTAGCCTTGGAGGCACAACAAACGGCAGATGTTTTGACTGTTGCAACTTCTATATGTTCCCCCTTGGTGGCAATTGTGTATGCTAGCCTAAGAGAAAAACATGTTATATTTACCACTCAAGGAAAAAGCAGAATTATTAATAAAATTGAAGAACACACATAAGCAAAAGGTACTAAGCAAAATAAGATAAAAAAAAAAAAAATTCAAGGATGAAAATTTTAAATAACATGTTATATTTAACACCCAAGGAAAAATACATGGAAATCAACATATTTCATTCCAATGTATAAACAAGTGTATAAATCTACAGAATATCATAACCTGTCAACAAGCACACAATACAATTATTATCAAAATAATAGAGAGATGTAATAGAAGAAAATTGTACAACGGAACAAAAACAAAATTTAGAACTTGAATAAAATAATTTAAGAGGGGGGGTGTTTGTTTAATTTCTTTATAAAACAAGAAAAAACAAAAATTCAGTAGTTCCAAAAACAGGTTAAAAAATGTCAAGGGTAAGTCCGAGTGAGGTTAAAGTTGTTCAACACAGCCTAGAGATATTGAGCTTTGCCAAAACAGCCCAAACTAAAGGAAACATGCCCAGAGGCCACACGCTAGATAACAAATAAGAAAACAAATCCCAATGGGCAACAACAGTGAATCAAGCAAAGAGGCCATGCACAAGATTCATGGGTATGAACTAAGCCGTATGTATGCAGGAGCTTGGGAGCACTTCCATGTAGATGCAATGATATGATGATTCTTGGGGTGTAGGACAAGAGAAAACTCATCATTTATAGACATGATTTAAAATAATCCTTCTCAAATTTATCACTCTCTTCCATAGAGCCATGGAAGAATGGCATTTTAAGGGCAAAAAAATATATTCCCAGATTTTTAAAATTTCATATTATGTACAGTCGCTTACCCAACAAAAAAACAGAAGGAAAAAAATAGAAGTTACACTCATCCAAACACTGGAATGAGATCATTGGTACGGAATCTTGTTCATACTAATATAGGATTAGCCACATGAGCCAAACTCGAGGTCGAGTAATTTCCAACCCGGAGGGACTGACGCAGTGGCAAAATAAAATCCCTAAATATTCTGCTGGCAGCAAACTTCCCATATTCTGATTTTTGGAAACTTTCCATATTCTGATTTTGAAAGCTTTTCTGATTTCTGTAATTTTCTGATTTTTAGTAACTTTCCTTTATTGTAATTAAGTCAATTATGGCTAGGATTGTTAGGAGACTATTATAAAGGGTGGCTAGGGTATTGTTGTAATTAATATTCTTTTTAATAGATTAGCAGTATCACCACCTCTCCAATACCCTAGCCACCCTTTATGTATAGTCTCCTAGCAATCCTAGACATAATTGGCTTAATTACAATAAAGGAAAGTTACTAAAAATCAGAAAATTACAGAAATCAGAAAAGCTTTCAAAATCAGAATATGGTAAGTTTCCAAAAATTCAGAAAAGCTGCTAGCAGAAAATTAGGCAATTTTTTTTAGCCGCTGCATCAGAGCCCCGCTGAGAAGGACCATACAGAGTCACTGAAGTTGTGGGGAAGGGAGCATACAAGCTTGAAACCCTGAGTGGAAGACAAATAAGCAAGCCATGGAACACCACATACCGTAAAAGGTACTTCTAGTAACAAGATAATGTTTTTTTTTTTAAAACCATTTTCCTTTGCCTCACTTCGCCATTAATGACGGGGCTCAGACCCCAGCCCTACCTCTTGTAAGAGACGAATATTATGAAAGTTAGTATTTTTTCTGTCCAACATTAGACGGTTACATAATAAAGCATGGGAGCACGATCCACCACGATCGGGAAAAAAAATAAAAAACCTTCATAAACTAATTTGAAAGTATTTTCCAACTTGGAAGGGCTAAGGTGAGTACACATCCGATTGTTTCAAGTTCGTAAAATTGTAAGTCAAAGTGGCAACTGGTACAAAGAGCCAATCGCCAAGGACTTAGGAAATTTTTTCAAAAAAAAATCATAAGTCAAGTGGCAGCTGGCACTTGACTTTTGATTTTTTTTTGAAAATTTTTCCTAAGTCTTTGGCGATCGACAGCTGGCACAAAGAGCCGATCGCCAAACGCTAAGGAGAATTTTTCAAAGAAAGATCATCAGTAAAGTGGCAGCTGGCACGAAGAGCCGATCGCCGACGACTTAGAAAAAAAAAAATGGTAAGTCAAAGTGGCAATTGGCACGAAGAGCCAATCGCCAAAGACTTGGAAAAAATTGGAACATAAACGAAAACAACTTGTAAAAAGTTGAGCACTTAAGGGGAGAAGTTATCATTAGAAATGATTCAGAAGAGATTCATCGAATGAAGTCATTCTTGGGGACAGAGTTCGAGGTTAAAGACCTCGGATTATTGAGATACTTTCTTGGCATCGAGTTGTGCAGATCGAATAAACGAGTATTCATTTCTCAACAGAAGTATACGTTAGATTTATTAGCTAAAACAGGCAGCTTGGAGCTAGACCTATCGATATTCCCATTGAGCAGAACCATAGGCTTAATGATGTAGATGGAGACCCATTAGATGAAGCGGGAAGATTTCAGCGATTGGTTGGGAAACTAATTTACATATCTCTCACATGCCCGGATATTTCCTACGCTGTTAGTGTGATTAGTCAATTTATGCATGCTCCACGTACACCTCACCTTGAGGCAGCTCATCATGTTCTTGGCTACCTCAAGGGTTCACCTGGTAATGGGTAGGGGTGCACAAAAGAACCGGAACCGTGGAACCGGAACCATGAGAACCGAAACTGTTTTTCCCGGTTCTCACGGTTCCGGTTCCGGTTCCGAATTTAGGAATCGTGGACATACGGTTCTGGTTCTGGTTCTGGTTCCGGTTCCAGCCTGTGGGAACCAGTGAGAACCGGAACAATATATATATATATGTGTGTGTGTGTGTGTATTATATATTTAATTTTATACTAAAGAAAGAAGTAAAGATATATATGTTTGTGTTTGACAGAGTAGTACAGCACGTGGTGGTGGTCCACAACCTAAATTCAGTCCTCAGTTCTAAACCTAACCTCTCAGATCGCTCTCAAGTCTCATCTCAACTCTGGTTCTGTTATGAAATTTCATTGAAGTGGCCGCCTCGCCTCATCACTTCTCGACTCGCCTCATCAGTCCTCGACTCCTCTCTGTTCGTCGCCTTGCCTCGCCGACTCCTCAAGTCTCAACTTCATTCTTCAGTCCTCCTCAAGTCCTCAGTCGATTATGTCCTTAGTTCTTCAGTCCTCTCATCTTCAGATCTTCTCATCGCAGCTATCGTCGACACCCACACACCATCTCAGAATTCTCATTGCCATCGCCGACGCCCACACACCATCTTCAGATCTTCTCATCGCGGCTATCTACAAATTTTTTTTTTTTTTTCGTTCGTCATAAATGTTTAATTGTTAATTGGAACAATATCTTTTCTGTTGGGTGTTCAATTTGCAGATCTACTCTCTATGTTATTGTTTTGCCCTGCATATATACACACACACATACACTCAAAGGCTCAAAGCCTTCAACAGGAAAAAAAGAGCAAACAATTAGTGAGAACCGTAGGTTCGGTTCCATACCTATACGGTTCCGGTTCCGGTTCCGTTTTCAAGGAACCGTCGTTAACGGTTCCGGTTTCGGTTCCGAGTGGAACCGTGAGAACCGGAACCGTGTGCACCCCTAGAAATGGGATATTATTTGGCCGTCATAGATACTTGCATGTTGAAGCCTATACTGATGCTGATTGGGCAGGGTCTGTGACAGATCGGCGATCTACTTCAGGATATTACACATTTATTGGAGGTAATCTTGTTTCATGGCGAAGCAAGAAACAGTCTGTAGTAGCTGGATCTAGTGCAGAGGTTGAGTTCAGATCCATGGCACATGGAGTTTATGAGTTGTAATGGCTACGAACGATGTTGGGTGAGTTGGGTTATCTTGTTCGCAAATCAATGAAGTTGTATTGTGACAATAAGGCTACTATTAGCATTGCCCACAATCCAGTTCAACATGACAAGACAAAACACATTGAAGTCGATCGACACTTCATCAAAGAAAAGCTTCGTCTTAGGCTGATTTATACTCCATATCAAGTTGCCGATGTTTTGACTAAGGGTGTGAGCAAGACTTCCTTGCAAAATATTTAGTCAAGCTGGGCATGATAGATATCTTTGCACCAGCTTGAGGCAGAGTGTTGTCAAGGGCTTATTTGTTATTATGCATTTTTTACTGGATAAAGTTGATTGCTACTTATTCATCAACAACAACAATCAAAAATTAAAAAATAAATATTGATCAGTACTTGTCCAACATAGTTCAATGACCCGTGAATCATTATATAACAGGGAAGATTGCCCAAGGGCCGAGAAATAGCAATTAAGAGACTTTCAAGAACATCTGGGCAAGGACTTGTGGAGTTCAAGAATGAACTTATACTCATTGCCAAACTCCAGCATACAAATCTTGTTCGACTACTGGGGTGTTGCATTCATGGAGAAGAGAATATGTTAATTTATGAGTCCATGCCCAACAAAAGCTTGGATTTCTTCCTATTTGGTTCGCAATAACTCTAACCTTACCTTGTTTCAATTTTTTCAGTATATCATTTCAAATTCATCTACATGATTACATAATTGAGCTCTATGTAGGTCACTAATTCTGTCTAAAAAAATTTCGTCGATACAGACCAAGCTAAAAAGGAGCTATTAAACTAGGAAAAACGTTTGAACATCATTGAAGGTGTCGCTCAAGGATTGCTTTACCTTCATAAATTCTCAAGAATGAGAGTGATACATAGAGATTTAAAAGCTAGTAGTGTACTGCTAGATGAAAACATGAACCCTAAGATATCTGATTTTGGAATGGCAAGAATTTTCAAGCCAAACGAAACGGAGGCAACCACTAACAGGGTTGTTGGAACATAGTAAGTGAAAAGTCGCTCTCTACGGGTTGACATGTTGAAGCTTTTAAATATTTACAATTTTTTTTGCTTCACCTCCTAACTAAATTTTTTTTTCAATGACTGGATTTAGTGGTTACATGTCTCCTAAGTATGCCATGGAAGGAAATTTCTCAGTGAAATCTGATGTCTTCAGTTTTGGAGTGTTGGTCTTTGAAATCGTGAGTGGTTGGAAAAATACTAGCTTCTATCATCTTGATCGTCCACTAAACCTAATAGGATATGTAAGTATCTCCAAGTATATTTCTTTTATTTTCATTTTCTGAACTATAACAAATCAATATAATTTTAATATGGAAATGAAACCAATATTGCCTCAGGCATGGGAGCTGTGGAAAGAAGGGACTGCATTGGAATTAAATGATCCAACACTAGGCAATTCGTGCTCCGAACACCATTTATTGAGAATCATTCATGTGGGACTTTTATGCGTGCAAGAAAGTGCAGAGGATAGGCCAACAATGTCAGAAGTAATTTCTATGCTTAGCAATGAAATTGTGCCTTTACCAGCTCCAAAGCAACCAGCATTTTTCACAGGAAGAAGTGTCCCTCAGGCAATTTCTTCAGAAACTAATGAAAGTAGCTCAAAAGATTGTTCAATAAATGGTTTGACCATTTCTGAAATGGAGGCACAATGAGTGGTAGAAACTTCTGTCCTTTTGATGCTTCAAGTATTTCGCAATTGCTTTCATATTGTAACTGCTTTTGTGCAGAGTTGAAGTATATGTCATGATTAACTTTTTCATTGGACAATAAGTTTGAGGTTTGTTTATTATCAAAATGATATTAGTTTTTTTTACTACAGCTACATAGCCGATCATTATGAAAATCATGCACTTCTTTTTATCATAGTTCACTTGGAGTGCTATAAAATGAAGAAATGATTGATTTAATTGCAGCAAGGGTGATGGCATGTGGTTGTTTCTTTGCAATGTTGTTAATACAATAAATTTGGCAGAGAAAGAGAGAAGAAGAAGAAAAAGAAGAAAAAGAAAACAGAAAAAATAATAATAATAATAAATAAATAAATAAACAGAAAAAAAAATAATAATAATAAATAAATAAAATTAAATTAAAAAAGAAGAGGACATGAGTCCTACATTGATGTAACATCTTCAATTCTTGTATGTTGTTAATAGGATTAACTTATCATACTTAAGAATGATAAGTTTTCATGCTGACAGCTGAGTCCTTGAATAAAAAATAACGTGAAAACAATGTGCAAATTTCAAGCTGATGCTAAATTATGACAACATGAAGAAAAAAAAAATGTGTAAATTTCATAATAGAAGTGAAATTGATGCCCATGAATCAGAAAGAAATTAAAATTTGAAATTATCTCATAAATATCTAACCTTGCATTGCACCATTAGCCAAGTGAAGAAGTCCACCACTTGGATTTTAGAAACCAGCTTTAGATGAGAACATCACTTTGAATAATACTCAATATGACAGTCCCATTCCTATGCAGATCACTGCTTCTACAATTCATATACCCTATGCCACTTCCCACCCCAATGGACCCAACCCCATTTTTCTTTCAATTAAGCCACCATACTAGTCCAATCTTAGCCTTAGAGGCACAACAAACGGCAGATGTTTTGACTGTTGCAACTTCTATATGTTTCAATTTCCGGAAAAAAAAGCTTCTATATGTTCCCCCTTGGTGGCAATTGTGTATGCTAGCCTAAAAGAAAAACATTATATTTAACACTCAAGGAAAAAGCAGATTTATGAATAAAATTGAAGAACACACATAAGCAAAAGGTACTAAGCAAAATAAGATTAAAAAAAAATAAAAATTCAAGGATGAAAATTTTAAATAACATGTTATATTTAACACCCAAGGAAAAACGCATGTAAATCAACATATTTCATTCCAAAGTATAAACAAGTGTATAAATCTACAGAATATCATAACCTGTCAACAAGCACACAATACAATTATTATCAAAATAATAGAGAGATGTAATAGAAGAAAATTGTACAACGGAACAAAAACAAAATTTAGAACTTGAATATAATAATTTAAGAGGGGGGCTGTTTGTTTAATTTCTTTATAAAACAAGAAAAAACAAAAATTCAGTAGTTCCAAAAACAGGTTAAAAAATGTCAAGGGTAAGTCCGAGTGAGGTTCAAGTTGTTCAACACAGCCTAGAGATATTGAGCTTTGCCAAAACAGCCCAAACTAAAGGAAACATGCCCAGAGGCCACACGCTAGATAACAAATAAGAAAACAAATACCAATGGGAAACAATAGTGAATCAAGCAAAGAGGCCATGCACAAGATTCATGGGTACGAACTAGGCCGTATGTATGCAGGAGCTTGGGAGCAGTTCCATGTAGATGCAATGGTATGATGATTCTTGGGGTGTAGAACAAGAGAAAACTCATCATTTATAGACATGATTTAAAATAATCCTTCTCAAATTTATCACTCTCTTCCATAGAGCCATGGAAGAATGGCATTTTAAGGGCAAAAAAATATATTCCCAGATTTTAAAATTTTCATATTATGTACAGTCGCTTACCCAAGAAAAAAAAAAAGAAGGAAAAAAATAGAAGTTACCCTCATCCAAACACTGGAATGAGATTGTTGGTACGAAATCTTGCTCATACTAATATACAATGAACCACACGAGCCAAACTCGAGGGCGAGTAATTTCCAACCCGGAGGGACTGAGGCAGTGACAAAGAAAAATCCCTAATTTTCTGCTGGCAGCTTTTCTGAATTTTTGGAAACTTCCCATATTCTGAACTTTGGAAACTTTCCATATTCTGATTTTGAAAGCTTTTCTTATTTCTGTAATTTTCTGATTTTTAGTAACTTTCCTTTATTGTAATTAAGTCAATTATGGCTAGGATTGCTAGGAGACTATGGAAATATATATATATATATATATATATATATATATATATATATATATATATATATACACACTTTGAATATGGAAATGAAAATAATATTTTTGCATCAGGCATGGGGCCTATGGAAAGAAGGGGCTGCATTGGAACTAAAGGATCCAACTCTAGGTAATTTGTGTTCTGAACACCATTTATTGAGAATCATTCATGTGGGTCTTTTATGTGTGCAAGAAAGTGCAACAGATAGGCCGACAATGTCGGAAGTAATTTCTATGCTTGGCAATGAAACTATGTCCTTACCAGCTCCAAAGCAACCAGCATTTTTCACAGGAAGAAATGTGCCTCGGGCAATTTCATCAAAAACTTATAAAAGCGAGTCAAAAGATTATTCAGTAAATAGTTTGTCCATTTCGATAATGGATGCGCGATGAGAGGCAGAAACTTCTGTCCTTTTCATGCTTCAAGTACTTGGCAATTGCTTTGAATAATGTAACTGCTTTCGTGCAGAGTTGAAGTATATGTGACAATGTCCGTTTCATTGGACAATATATCTGAATTTTGTGTAATATCAAAATGGTAGTAGTGTTTTTTTTGACAGCTACATACATGAACATCATGAAAATCATGCATTTTTGTTTACCATAATTCACTTGGAGTGATATAAAATGAAGAAATAATAGATTTTATTGCTGAAAGGTTCATCCCATGTGTTGTATCGTTGCAACGTTTGTTAATAGGATAAAGTTGGCAGAGATAGAGAGAGAGAGAACATGAATTCTACATTCATGTAACATCTTAAATTCTTGTATGTTTTAAATTGGTGGATTCAATTTTGAATTTGATTGCATATTTTAAATCAAAATTCGATCAATATATCCATTTTTTTTTCCTTAAAATAAATTTAGTATGAAAATTGGGTCTGAAAATCTAACAGTGTGTAAGAAGAGAACTGTGTAAGGGGTTCACAGCCGGGTTATGCTAAGTTGATGGAAGGGAGACACACAGTACATATTTAAGAATAACCAGTTTTCATGTAAACAGCAGAGTCTTTCAGTTCATTCCCATCAGTTCTAAAACCAAACATATACAGAGACTACAAAAATAAGGAATCAGTGCAATAGTAAGAACTTTAGGTGATGCTAAATTATGACAAGAAAATAATGTGGAAATATCATAATAGAAGTGAAATTCATGTCCATGAATCAAAAATGAATTGAAATTTTAAATTGCCTCAGAAATATCTAACCTTGCATTGCACCTTTAGCCAAGTGAAGAAAGTCCTTCCCATGGATTTCAGAAACCAGCTCTGACCATCACTTTGATCAGTGCTGCTACAATTGATATATCCTATAGCATAGCTAGCCACACCCATTATTCTCTATTGTGGTTCCTTACCACCATGCCCATGCACAGAAGCTGTTTGTGGAAGTGACTGCTGAAATCTCTGAATTCTTTTGCCACTTCCCATCCAAATCATTTAGCCACCAGACACCCAAATGGCAGATGTTTCATCTTTTAGTCTTTCCCCATCACCTTCATATGGAATCAACACGAAATTTTCTGTTTTTCAAATCCCTCTCACTGAAAGAATATGTTTTGCACAACCCCAAATTAAGAAATTTTGTTGGGTTCTTCTCTTGAGATGAGCCCTCCAAATAACATTCAATCACTCCAAACAGCCTCTAATTCCTCTATGATTTGGGTTCTGCCGGCTGCATTGTGCTTCTGTTTGTAGAATTGGTAAAGCAGGTTTTCATTGGTGTTTGCTAATTGGAATTTCTTGATTGTAACAGTCACCTATGCACAAAGGTGAGATCGTGAGTTCGACTATAGAGTAAATTGTAAAATCGTTCCAAAGGTGAGATCGCGAGCGGCCTAGGGGCCCCCTGGCCTGGCCCACTGCAATATGTAATATGTATAATTGTTTTCACTTGTCCCTCTAAAAATTTTAATTTCTAAAATTATCTAACAATTTATTATTATTATTATTTTCTCTTTTACTTTTTAAATTTTTTTACTTTTTTTTTTAAAAAAAGAATAATAAATTTCCATTCTTCAATCAAACTCTATTTTTTTTTTTCTTTCAAAGTTCTCTTATTTTTCTTTCATTTTTGTTCATTCTTTTTCTTACTTTTAATTTTTTATATATATATTTTTTTCCACTTCTGTATGTAATATGTAACTTTTTGTCCCTGTTCTTCTTATTTAAATTTATGACGGTAAAATGTTTGATAAAATTAAAAATTAAGTAATTAAAATTTAAAATTTTAAAAGCTTAATTTTAAGTATTAAAGATTTTAAGTGGTACTAAAAAAATTAATACTTCTTTATATTTTTTGAATTTTCAGCGCTTACCGTTTTTAGTACTAATCAAATTGTGTTATTAAACACACTTAATTGGATAAGTGATGAACTTAATTGGATAAGTGATAAATCCATTCAGAATTAATCCGCAAATTGAGTAATCAAATAGCACCAATAATATAATTTCATGCATTGCAAAATAAATAAATAAATCAAACAAACAAACAAACCTAACAATAGAAATATTATCAGACAATATTTTGGTTCTTATATTGGTCAAGTATACTCATTGATTAGTATATTATTTTATAATAATTTTTTTTTGCCCTTTTCTCCTTTATTTATCCTTTTTTTTTTTTTTGTTTTTTTTTACCACTGTGCCCCCTAAATTGAAATCCTACTTTGCCCAAGTTAAGAAGGAAAATAAGTAACTCATAATATGAATATGTACAGGGGTGACCACATATTGGAACATTTAAGGCATTAAATTGAATCAATTCGATCCCAACGTATTGAATTCAGTCTATTTCATGGAAAAACTTAATTCGAAGTTATCGAATTCGCAAGAAAACGTAATCCATATCTAATTGAAACAAACCTAATTAAAAAAATAAAATTTTGTAATTGAACCAATGGACTTAAAATATTCGACCGAATCCATACGAATCAATTGATGGACACCCCTAATATATACTTTGTATTACCTTGACAACAAACTTACATTACCTACGTACATACATTATCTAATGTGTAAATGTGATCAGTTTAATTGAACTGGATGGGCTTACCAATGATATGAACTTCATTACCTAACATGCTCATTGATGCAGAAGCGGGTAGGGGTGATTCAAAAGTAGAATTTAAGTAAATAAGAAAGAGGTAAAGAAAATATAAATAATAGGGAAAAAAATCAGATGAGAGAGAAAAGCATAACAAAGACAAAGAAGAAACCACAATAATTTCTGAATAATCAATAATCAATATCAAAAGCTAACTTTCACAATGTCTAAACCAACATATAAATAGGCATCAAAGAAAAATCCTAATCAACCTATTACCATAAATAAAACCCTAAATTGTTAAAATATCTAATAATAATAATAAATAAACAAAAATCCCTAATTCTATCTTTCTTTCCCATGCCTCCAATAGTAGGTGTGAGCCATGTGATCTTCAAGCTCTCGGGTTAGCCCAGTTCTCCAACACCCTCCCGGTTGAGAAGAACTCTCCTTCGAAGAGTAAATGCAAATGTATATCTTCAAAAAGTAAGAGTCAACATGTGATACCCACGGATTTTTGAATGCGAATTGGCTAGGTCCACGCCCGAATACCCGAGAATATCAAAAACAAATCGATAATAATTGAACACATAATACAAATATAATAAATAAGAATAAATAAAATGCGGAAAAGAAACTAAAATGATAATCTCATAATTTCTTAGAATAAATTTTCATTAATAAATTCTTGTGATACAAATAATTTTTCAATTTATACAACTCGGGAATCGATACTATATGGAACCCTAGAAAATCCAAAACTGAATAATTAACAATTAACAACAAAATATGGAATCATAAAGGAAACTCCTATGGAGATAATCCAAAAGAGTGAAGTAGACTGATTCTTGCTCAGCACGAACAATCTCTACTCCTAACGAACACCTAAAAAATAATGGTGGGTCAGGCCCACAAACAAGTTCTACCCGACTACAGTCCAAGCAGAAATCCAATATACGTATACATCCTAGTCAATTTAACAATATCTAGTAGTCCGTATAGATATATAGATACACACTAAAAGGAATCTCACTAAACTATAGGGTTGTCTCAACCTGAATAGTAGGCAACATGCAAAAACGCACATATAGTAGGCATGAGTACCTAGACCTACTAGGGTATACAACTACACTATGTCTAGCTACATATCCCTGGCAATATGCGCACCCTAACCATAGATTCTGAGACTCAAGCTCATATCATGACTCATAACTTAATATATATAAATATAACAACTATCTTATCCAATATAAAGTAAACCATGATAGGTCATTCAACTTATTCAGATGACCTGACACGAATATAAGTAGGACTTAATATTTTAGTTAATCCATTCCCTTATATAAAAATATATAGGACTTAACTGATAAGTTAATCCGTCCCTAGAATGTCACCATTCTATACTGGTGCATTCCTTATATAAAAATAGGTAAGACTTAACCGATAACTTAATCCGTCCCTAGAATGCCACCATCCCATACTGATGCATTATATCATATAATCCACAATTAATGAAATAAATATAATACTACATCAATTAAATCCAGAGATGAGAATAATAAAAATCAGACACATACATGATCATATTATACTAACAATATATGACTAAAATCATATATACATACATCACAGAATCTTAATAGATTAATGTTAAGCAATTATATCCTCCATCAACAACATATATATCAAATTAAAGTTCATGTTGTTCTTATCATTACCATATTAGTATTTAATCATGCTTTCCCATTCCTCCATGAATCTATTTTAATAGATTTGAATCTATCTTAAACAAATTTAGAACATTTAAAACAGATTTAGCACATAACAACACATACAGTATGCAAAAATCCCATAAACAATTCCCAGCGCCAAACCAATGATATGTACTTAACATGCTCATTGATGCAGTAACGAGTAAGGGTGATTCGAAAGCAGAATTCAAGTAAATAAGAAAGAGATTAAGAAAATAAGAATAAGAGGGGAAGAAATCAGATAAGAGAGAAGAGCAAAATAACAGATTGAGAAGAAATCACAATGATTTCTGATTTCTAAATAATAATCAATAATCAATATCAAAAGCTAACTTTCACAATGTCTAAATTAACATATAAATAGACATCAAAGAAAAACACTAATTAACTTATTACCATAAATAAAACCCTAAATTGCTGAAATATCTGATAATAATAATAATAAATAAACAAAAATCCCTAATTCTATCTTTCTTTCCCACGCCTCCAATAGTAAGTGTGGGCCATGTGATCTTTAAGCTCTTAGGCTAAGCCCAGTTCTCCATCATTCCCTCCCGGTTGAGAAGAACTCTCCTTTGGAGAGTAAATGCAAATGTA